AAGAGATCTTTAAAAACTGTCAGTGTCAGCACAACCATGAAACAGGGCCCTTAGCACACTTGGGGCCCCAGGCACAAAGCCAGGTCTTCAAGGCCTTCCGAAAAGCCAAAAGGGTCAGGGGCATTCTAATCTCAGGAGGGAAGATGTTCCAGAGGGCAGGCGCCACAGCGGAAGAGGCACGTCTCCTGGTCCCCGCCAGCCGACATTGCTTGGATGACGGGACCCGGAGCAGGCCCATCCTGCTGGACTGGATTGGACGGGCAGAAACAACTGGGGAAAGACGGTCCCTAAAGTAACCTGGTCCCAAGCCATGAAGGGCTTTAAAAGTGACAACCGGCACCTTGAATTGCACCCGGAAACACACCGGCAACCAGCGCAGCTCCCGAAGCAGTGGTGTTCCCTGTGCCGAGTAGCCGACACTATTTACAACCCGGGCAGCTGCATTCTGTACCAGCTGAAGCTTCCGAATGCTCTTCAAGGGCAGCCCCACGTAGAGCGCATTGCAATAGCCCAAGAGACTTTAAATGGTTCAAACCTCCCTGCATATTGACAAAGTGGCCTGATCTTGCGAGGTGCTAGCATAAATGAAGATACAATCATGAATAAGTAGAAAGCACTTAAAAACAGAAACACACACAGAGAATTCAGGTTGGTTACGAAACTGCTTCTGGGATTTCCAGAAAGCGAAAACTTGTACTTTACACCAAGGCAACACTTTCACAAAGTTGCCAGCAAGTAATTGAGAGTTACTGGCTATTGTAACTGAACAGGTTATGATGATGAACATCTGGGCCACAGATGGTTAAATTCTGCTCATAGAAGGGGGCGACGGCAAACCACCTCCGAAATGTTGCCTAGAAATCCGCAGGGACTGGTCCGGGAGTCCACACGGAATACAAACGGGTGTCCTTTGATCCTCCGCCCCCAAAGGAAAAGGATCTTTACTTCTTTAGCTGGCCAGTTCACGCCCCAGAAGGGGGCTGACGAAACTAATTTACGCTGAGCATTCTTGTCTCTTTCCATGCTTTGTACCCTCAGTGGTTTCGTCATCTCGTGCCCTCTTGCGGCATAAAGACTAAGCGAGTCTCCCAAAGAACGCCAACTACGGTCTGGGCTCTGCTAGGGCCCCCTTTAACTCCGCTCTTCTGGGCGAGGACAGCGTCTTTCCCCCCGGGAAACTTCTGCTGCAGCAGAGGGAGTCTCGTAGCGGGGCAGTAAGAGGCATTTCACCCCAAGCGACCGGATTAGGTCCCACTTGATCAGGTTCACACGCCAGCTTAATCAGGTCAGGTCAAGACCCAAGAGATGCATTCGCACAACCCGCAGGGCTCGGATAGGGTTACCCTTAGTTATGTGTCGTGCGAAGCCAGACCGTTTCGTTAGCTCACGGCTCCGGGCAGGTCCTGGGAGTAGCCAGAAAATGGATCAATTCAGGGAGCCCGTTAAGCGTGCAGCGAGGAAGGCGCCTCGCTGAAATTCACGGCCGTCGCTTTCCCTGCAGAGCTCCGCAAGGACCAGCGCGGGGAAGCCAAGCCCGCGCCTGCGCAAGGGGAACGCGCGCACGCGGGAGCGAGGCGAAGCCCGGCGTACAAGGAAGCCGCCGCCGAGCATTCAGCGTGCCGCGCATGCGCAGGCTCCTCCGCGGCCCTCGCGAGGAGGAGGAGGAGGCGTTCCCGGACCGCGGCGCGTCCTCGCCTTGAAAGCCCCGAGACTGGAGCGCTCGTGGAAGGAGGGCGGC